CATGCAGTCTGTCGGCCTGCTCAGGGAGAGCATTGCTGTGTGCAGGCGGCCAGCTGAAAGAGGGTGGAAGGGTGTGTGCACGGGCGGGAGGCTCGTGGAAGATAGATCCAAACGGGCAGGCGCCCAAGGGAGCTGTAATGTTCCTGCTCCTTCACATGCCCTCTAGTGATGCCGGGAGCTGGAATATGTCATTTCGACCCCGGCATCACTCAACAGCGTTCTATGGAGCAGAGCAGGGAGATGACTGAAGCCCCACTGGACCACAGGGAAAGCCGAACCACTCTAGCTCTACCAAAAGGTAGGGAGGATGGGTGGTCACGTTAATGTGTGTCTCAGTGAGTGTCTGTCAGTGTGTGTGTGTGTGTGTGTGTGTTTAGGTGACCGGTACCCCTCCAATAGTAAAGGAAAAGGTTCACCCCCCCCCCACGCTGTGCTGGTCTCACCACAGCTGGCCCTGCCTCCATGACTGTGATCATCAATCTTTATGATCTCCGTCAATCCAATGCTTTCCAGTAGGAAAGCATTGGGAGGCTATTGCGCATGTGTGGCAAACCGCCACGCTGCGCCAATCGGCATCTTCTCATAGAAATGAATTGAATCAATGCATTTCTATGGGGAACGTTCAGTGCCTCCCCGCAGAGCATGGAGACGCTGAACATAGGTGCTGTGCACTATACAGCACTGACGCAGGTTGCACTCTAGAGGATGTCTGAGTGACTCACTAGAAGTGTTATTAAGCAACACTGTCAATACTGCCTTATCTCTGAAAAGGCAGGGTTTACATTGAAAAGTGTGCAGGTAAACTGGAAACCTTTACTTGAGGTTACCCCTGGGCTGAATGCAGTTCCAGAGTATTCTCCATGTAACAATGCTCTTTGAAGCTTTTCAAGTAATATCTAGTGTAATTATAGCTCAAATAATTCAGAACTGCGCTACATGTATTGCAGAGTATTTGAGTTTCTGATGAAGATTCCAGGATACTTTTTAGATGCCATTAGACTTAACCACGTGTGGCAGCTGCAGTAAAATAACTCCAGATGGTTTCAGATAAATAAACAAATGTTGCCTCAGTATTGCAGGTGCCATCATAAGGTTTTGTCCTTCATGTGTGGTGGGGACGTGTGTTATAGTTCTGAGAACACACCCTAATTTACTTGTGATGCATGTCTGTAGAGATTGACTTTTTTTGTTAGGTGTTTGCCTCAAGACTTGCTGCAGGTGCCTAAAAACTTTGAATTCCCTCAGTTAGAGAATTGTCATGTCCTCCTGCTTTACTAGATACAAGAAAACTCTTATGAATATTTAAGACTCAGAGCTATATGCCTATGGTACCGAAATGTGTTAGCATTCGTTATTACCACAATAGGTGTTCTCTACAGATGTTAACTGATGCAGATAAGATCCAATGTGATTTGCAAATTGAGTGATTGTCAGATACTCAGCTTCAAAATAGAACTTTTTTCAATCCAATTTTTGTAACATGTTTGCCTGCTTTGTTGCGCTAAACAAAACTAGGACAGTAACTGGCAAAATAATTTTTAAGTCGTGTTTTTTTTTTTTGTTTTTTTTTTTTAAACTGAGGTTGGGTTTGTGGTCTCTCTCTCTTCCCTTCTTCCCCGCAGCCAATCCAAGCTATGTGATCAATGACAGATCACATGGCTTCTGATCAGCGTGGTTGACAGATTGTCTGCATGAGGACTGCCTGGAATCTAAGGCAGATCCCCCAACATATAACTAATAAAAAAAAAATAATGTATACGCGTATATAAAATTCTAAATTTATTTTATATTTTGGGGGCTGTCTGACAGCCCCCATATAACTTAATTTGTAAGACCTATATTTTAAACTGTAACTTCCAAATTTCATAAAATATGTACGTGGGTGATGTACTAGAGACATTGCTAAGTACAAATGAGTGTTTTGAAGCTGTAAAATGTATAGGGACGATATCATTAGTTTAAGTTCAGTGTTTTTTTGGGTGGGGAAAAATGCAAGAATATAAACTTTTGGCAAAGGTTTGTGGCTACAAAAAAAATAAAAATACTGGACATACCCCATTTTGAATGGAGTTGTCTAATTATACAAATGGTATGCCATCATGGGAGTAATTCTCATTCCTGGGCTGACGTACAGTTTCAAAGGCAATTTAGGCCCAGCAAACTAATCTGGCAAATTTCAATCTGTAAAAGCTGAAATGAGCAAGCTCTTTGACCCTGGATCTCTTCAAAACCCCCATAAAACATGTAAGGAGACATTGATATACACGGTAGACTGCAATTTATAGAGGTGGAGTTAACCCTGCAATGTCATTATTGCCGTTGATTAACCTGCAATAATTACCACTGCAGGGTTAAGGGACCTGGAACGCTGCACCCACCAGACCACTTCAATGAGCTGAAGTGGTCTGGGTGTCTATAGTGTCCCTTTAATATCAAATACATTTGTGGTAAAGATGACTCTTTACAGGAAATGTTTAGAAAGGCTGTGTAAGTCACATGCAGGGAGGTGTGGCTAGGCTGTATAAACAAAGTCATTTAACTCCTGAATGGTAGAGACCTGAGCAGTGAGACTTCAGGGACATGATCTATACATCAAAACTGCTTCATTAAACTAAAGTTTGGGTTGCGCTGTGTGTGTTGGCATGCGGGTTGTCTCGACCCAGCCAGGTCTGATCAGGAGACCTCCAGGATGGGTCGGTAGTGAATGCCTCTCCCTATTGTCTAGCTTGCCGTTGCAGGGTGTGTGGGGTTAAGTGATACATACTGTGCGGCTAATTATTTCCGACCCCTTAACTAAGGGGGCCTGGGGGGGGGGGGTCTTTAGCGAGCTCAGGCTGGAGCCATTTGTAAAAGAGGTGAGAGTATAAATTGGAGTAACTTGCGTGTAACAGATTAATTTAAATTATGCATAACATGCATAGAACATATACAAGAGAATTAGGCGTAAGAGGACACCGTTGCTGGCACACGATTCATGTGACTGCCTCCTTTCCCTTGTTTTCATGGGACGAATGGGACAGTCCTGCCAGGGTCCCAAGTGTGTAGTAGTGGTTGAGTAGAAGGGGTCATAATGGGGTGTGCAATGCCCAGCGACTGAAGGAAGGATGAGGTCTCCGATATGAGGTGAGTTTCAGGATGGTATTGTCCTGGGTGACCGCTAGGGCCCTAGGCAGGAGCCATCTGTAATTCACTTTCGCTGTGCGGAGGAGGGTGGTAATTGGCGTCAGCGTTTTTCTCCATAGTAGTGTGTTACGGGTAATGTCCTGAAAAAAGGTAAGCTGGGAGGATTCAAATGTGTATGGGGTCTTATCCATGTACTGCTGCTAGTAAGCGGCGTTTGTCCAGTAGAGTGGCATCTCACTATGACATCCCTTGGGGCTGTTATGGGCGCCTGTTTGGCTTTGTTGATTCGGAATTGTCCGTCAAATTCCATGTTTTTGGCTTGCATGTGTGGCAGTCCAGCAGTGAGTCTTAAGTAGTTCGGTTGTGCCAACGGTGTCTGGGATTCCCCGGATTTTTATATTTTTCTGTCTGCTACAGTCCTCTTATGGTGTCCAGTTTTGTTTGGACTGCAGTGTTTGCAGATTGCAGTTGGCAGAGGGTGTCCCCCATGTCCTTCACCTCCTGTCGTAAGTCTATGATGTTGTCTTCTGCGGCCTGGATTCTTGTGATCACAGCTTGTATCTCTGTGCGGGCTTTGTTTAAGTCTGCTTCATACATTTGCTTAACCTCTTGTAAGAGCTGCATGATGTTGCGCTTTGTGGCCGGGGCCATGTCATCACCCTCACCTTGTAGAGTGTGTTGTGATTGGGGTTGTTGATGTTCCTCCGGGCTCATCGCTGAGCAGTTAGAGTCCGGGTCAGGCTCCGCCGCCATTTTGTGGCTCGTGGGTCGCTGGAGTAGAGTCCCGATGTCTCTGGTGTCTTTAGCCACGCCCGCTGGCCGTTTTGTCGAGAGGTAACGACTGCTTGTTTGTGGGTGGTGTTTGGTACCCAAGAACTTGGAGCAGCTGCAAGGATAGCCGCGAGGCCTCTGTTGGTGATGGGGCAAGGTAGGCCTGACTTTTGCCGCGGGTTTTTCTGCCCTTTTGGGCAAATAAGGGCATCAGCGGGTGTCCTCTTGTGAGTGGGAGGTTTGGGTGTTTTTCCTGCCTGACTGGGACTCAGTGTGGCCCTGGATGGCTTTAGATTTGCCGATGACCCAGGGGAGCTCTGAGAGATGGCGTCCATATGGCTCAGTTAAGCTCCGCCCCCAGAAGGAGAACATTTTAACTTCTCCTTCTCTATGCTTTTTTAAATAAAAAAAAAATTAATTATGTTGACAGGTGCTAATGACTCTTCTAACAATGTGACAGTGAGCGAAGATGTAGTTCTGGTTTTTAATGTTAAGTGGTGTGAATTTCTCTATTTTTATCTTGCTGCCTTCCCTTTGGGAAAACAAGCATTACTGCATTTTTTTTTTATTTTTGAGTCTCTCCTCTTCAGTTTTGATGTAATCTGGCTCAAAGCAAACGTTGGTTATGTTGTAGTTTTGACTTCCTCTGGAATTGCATTAAGATTCTTATTTGGGGTTAGATCATAACTGAAAGCATGGTTTCCAGAAAAGTCTTATTGGTTTCTGTGGAAACGTTTGTTTGCAACTTTTCACTGTGTAAGAAAGAATTCAAGAAAATTATCTCCAAATATTGGCCTATTTTAAGAAACTATCCAGTTTTAAATAGTATCCTCCCAGAAAGACCTAAAATTACATATAAAGGAGTATAGAATCTGAGAAGCAGCTTAAAACAAAATTATATACCACCAAAAAGATTACAGAAATTGTTTTATGAGTCTAAGGGAGTCTATGGTTGTGGACACTGTAGAGCATGTAAAAATTCAAAGGTTGATAAAATAATTCCTACACCCTCAGGACAAGAAAATTAAAGGACCACTCTAGGCACCCAGACCACTTCAGCTTAATGAAGTGGTCTGGGTGCCAGGTCCAGCTAGGGTTAACCCATTCTTTTATAAACATAGCAGTTTCAGAGAAACTGCTATGTTTATAAATGGGTTAATCCAGCCCTCAAAGCCTCTAGTGGCTGTCTCATTGACAGCCGCTAGAGGCGTGTGGCGAAACCGGCCTCGCCACGTGTCCTTGGAGGGGGCTGCTTGCCCGCCTCTTGCCTTTGGACTATGGACCAGACTTTATGAGAATGTGTTAACCCAGATAGCTATGCCATGGAGCCCATTTGTGTAGTTAAAGACTTCGGCTCCATAGCAATTGAACTGTGTGAATAGGATCTGAACGCTCTTCAGTAGTTTTGTGCGCTCAGATCCCAGCTATCTGGGGATATGTGAAATGTCTGTGTGTTATGTGTAAAAGTGACTTTATGTATTTTAAAGTGTTTTGTGTCTTTTTGCAACCATGTGCTTAATGGAGTCTTGTGTCTGTCCTGGGAGATAATTGAATTACTCTCCAGGATAGAAGACTCTGAAACTGGTTTGGGCCAGAAAGCCATGCTTCATTTAGTCACAAAGGACTTTCCCTTAACTTTTGAACCCCTGGTCTGATTCGTGCCATTTTTTAATATGTTGTTCCCCTGAATGGATTGATTATGAAAATGTATGTTTTATGTTTGTGACATGTATATTTTAGAAGTTATAAATATTGTGTAAAAACTGTATTCCTCTGCCGGTGATAATGAGATTACCCATTGTGTTCAGTAATCATATCACATGCAGAGGGGAGGATTTTGTGTGGGAGTGTCTGGGTGTATTGTACGGATTGATTGGTTGTTTTGTAACGCCCTGTGGGCTGTACTATGTTTGTGGATTGGGAATAAAAGAGACTGTATGTGACAGTACAGGGAGTTCCTGTTTTAACCCTCAAAGTGAAGTGTCGTCTCATTATTGGGGGAAGGATTTATTGTATGCTGTTCCAGTTTGATTGCTAGGAGAGTAAACCTATTCGTATGGTTCCTATTCAACTGTCTACAGCATTCTTATGCTTGAGAGAAGGTATACGCTTCTCTGGTTCGGTGATTGTGGTGTCTGCTGCAGTGCTTGGAGTCCTCAGGAAGCGCTAGGAGCATCTTTCAACGGAGGTACCCAGTCGGGGTGCCAGACGATCCGTTACAAGGCGCTTGCGTGATTTTCACAGTGAGAGCACGCCAGCGTCCATAGGAAAGCATTGGGAATGCTTTCCTATGCGACCGGCTGAATGCGTGCGCAGCTCCTGAGGAGGATGATCGGAAGAGGAGAGCTCCCCGCCCAGCGCTGGAAAAAAGTTACTTTTTACCCCTTTCCTCTCCCCAGAGTGTTTTCATGGCACTATAGTGGTCCTTTAAATTTAAGATAAATTAATTGATTACATGTTACTCAACAAAAGTAATTTATTTACTTACCTGTCCTTGTGAACTTTCTTATGTGGGATGTACAACAAGGGGTCTGTACATAAGAATCCAAGAGCACATAAGGAATATCAAGAAAGGCTTTGAAAAACAGTGTATCCCTACACTTTATAAATAAACATCATGGGGGCGTGGTTTGGCGCTCGAGCTGCACAGTTGCATGTCGGAGTAGCTCCCACCGCTAAACCTCCATGGGGCATTAAACAACCGGAGTAACGAGCAACTTTAACAGCAAGCGACATCGCAAGTACACACCATGTCCCAGAGACTGAAAACCAAGCCCACAAAAGCAGATAAAGCATCCTTCTTTATGGCAAAAACCGCACCGCAAAAAATGCGGGAAGGCATTGAATAAGATGGCGGCCCGTCACGATCGCGGGAGGGCTCACCCGCTTCCCAGCCTCCCCTGAAATAACATATGAAGATCAGCCCCTCACAGAAGCAACTATGAGAAGCATGATGGCTGAACTCAGACTCGGTTCAGAGGAGCCTCAAGGCTCAAATGCTTACACTAACAGCTGAACTTAGAAAAGACCTGCATGAAATAGGGAACTGCACTGCACACTTAGAGTCCAAGATTGACGACTTCTCCACGGCTCACAACAGCATGGCTGACAAAATGCAAGAGCTGGAGGACACTATCACAGCCCCAAAAAAAATTAAAAAATAATCAAACGGGCAGATTTGGAAGACAGGTCCAGGAGGAACAACCTCCGATTTAGGGGAATACCGGAGTAACAAATACAGATTTGGAAAATTACTTACAAGATATGTTCCAACAGATGACCCCCGAACTGCACCCAGACCAACTACTGCTGGACAGGGCGCACCGACTCCGAAGACCTAGCCACTTAACACCGCAGCGAGGAACGTCCTAGCAAGAATACATTTCTTTCATGCCAAGGAACAGATAATCAAGGCAAGCAGGAACAGAGGGATGCCTGAGAAATTCAGCAATATAAAAATCTTTTCTGACCTCTCGGCAGAAACCCTACAATACCGCAAATCTGTGGCACAAATTACGCTGTCGCTGCGCACAAAGGGACTGAGCTTACAGATGGGGATATCCGGCTATGCTGGCTCAGGACTGGGCGTCCTGATAAAGAGACTCCATACCCAAGCTGTATACGTAAGGCGCGTAGCCAAGTTATCATTTATTTTGTTTTTAAAATATTACTGTTCCACACGAGATGCACGTAGGAGAGACTACCGGGCCCCCGACCTCCTCCCACACTGACTCAATAAGCATTCAGCGAGACATACTCTCGGTTAGATCCTGACATTGCCCAATTACCATGGGTTGGGGAGTCGGGGCACCGGAGACTCATAGGTCCAAAAAAAAAAGTACAGTCGTTTGAAAAAGACGGCCGGCTAGATAGACTTGGCCACGCAATAGCGGTTAATTGTACTAGCACCCATGGTGCCCCAGTGTGTGCTTGTTAAGGGAACATCCTCCTCAGCGGAGAGTCCCAATACCACGATCCCCCTAGACTGCGAGCGACCCACGGGCGCCGCAAAAAGTCTCGACCCAGAGTAGCCTTATAGGGCTATGCCCTCTCCTACCCCCCTCCCTCCCACATACAGAAACCAATACAAAGGCAGAAGCCGAAGGTTGACCTTCCCTCTTCCCCCTCCTGCCACCATACCACTTCTTTTTATAACAGACAATCACACTGAACTGTCAAAAAAGGCCACATGCCATTAAGTTAACTATGAGCAAGAGTCCGAAGGCCTACATACACAGGTACTAACACTAGCATTACCTGACGTAACCACACCAGAATGAGAATAGTGTCTTATAATGTTAAGGGGCTTAATTCCCCTGGAAAACGTAGACTGCTTTTGCATGACCTTAAGAAAAACTCAGTTGATATAGCATGCCTTCAAGAAATGCACTTTAGACATTCCACTGCACCATCACTCTTTAAAAAAAAACTGTACCTTACGCAGTATCATGCCCTGTCGGAAACGAAAATGAAAGGGGTTTCCATCTTAGTGCATAAAGATGTTGCCTTTACTCTGCAAAGCTGTTACATTGACCCTAAGGGGAGATATATTATTGTGGTAGGGCTCTTCAACAATGCACAATACACCATAGGGGCAGCGTACTTCCCGAATGACAACCAAGCCTCTTTCCTCAAATCTCTTCTGTCCAAACTAGATACATACAAACAAGGGGGGCTCATACTGGGAGGAGACTTCAATTTCATCCAGTCCCCGACCCTTGACACTACAGCCTCCCCACAGGGAAAAAGCAAAAAAGGGACTCAAGCCCTCTGCAAAACTATCACCAACACCTTGGCCTTGTATAACCTATACGATAGCTGGAGAACGCTACACCCCATTGACCGTGATTACTCCTTCTACTCCAGGGTCCTCAACACATACACACGTATAGATACATTCTTCATAGTTAACAAGACCCTACCACAACTGACAGACTGTAAAATAGGGGAGATAACGTGGTCTGATCATAGTCCAATTTATTTTGACTTGGAAGATGTATACCAACCCCGAGGCAGAGGTACATGGAGGCTAAACGAATCTCTCCTCCTAGATAAACCATTCGTATGAGGCTAGAACTCAGTGAATATTTTCTTACTAACACAACGGACGAGTTCTCGGACTATACAGTGTGGTCCGCGTATAAAGCGGTGATGAGGGGACAGTTCATTAGACAATCAGCGTACATAAAACGACACCACCAAACCACCCTCCTAGATTGCCACAAACAAATAGCGATAGCCACAGCCCAAAACAAAAAAGACACCCACGACAACCCTAGCAGACAAATTAAGAGACCTATACCAGGACCTTACCAAGCTCAATGCCCAGAAAACCCAATACTTTCTACACAGACTACGAACCACAATAGTGGTAAAGCATCCAAATACTTGGCCAACAGACTCAGAACAAAGCAGGCCGCTAATAGAACCCCATACCTTATAGGGCACACAGGAGACAAATTCACGAACCCCATGAACATAGTGCAGGAATTTGCACACTTCTACAAACAACTATACAGTGTAGATTCAAGTGGTGGCTTTAAGCCCCAGAGACACAAGCTATCTGCAGCTATTTACAAGATATTGAACTCCACAAGTTGGACCAAAACTCAGTGAGCGCCTTACTCGAACCGATTACTATGCAGGAGATCCGGGAAATAATTAAGAGCCTGCCCCCGGGTAAATCCCCAGGCGCAGATGGACTCTCAAACACCTATTACAAGACATTCACAGACATACTAACCCCACACCTGCTAACAGTATACCGCAAAGCAACAGAGACAGGATCTCTCCCCCCTGAAATGCTAGTGGCCACGATAGTAACGCTCCCGAAACCAGACAGGCCTACAGACAATTGTAAAAATTTCCGACCCATCTCCCTTCTTAATACGCTAAGATATACGCTAAGCTACTGGTCAACAGACTGGCACCCATCCTTCCAACTAATGAAGAGTTGACCAAACAGGCTTCATTAAGAGTAGGCAGGGCAAATGAAGCCTGTTTGGTCGTCTCCTATGATAGCACCAACGAGAGCTTTCTAGTGTTGTCTCTATCATAGGAGACGACCAAACAGGCTTCATTTGCCCTGCCTACTCTTAATGAAGCCTGTTTGGTCGTCTCCTATGATAGCACCAATGAGAGCTTTCTAGTGTTGTCTCTAAGAGGCTGAGGGGATCGGGACAGGGGGGGCTTTTACTAGCCCTAGACGCCGAAAAGGCGTTTGACCGTCTGAACTGGTCATTTCTTGAACACCCACTTCTAAAATATGAAATCCCCGCCGAATTTATCAAACAGATCTTTGCCCTGTACGCAGGTTCCACCGCTCGGG